GATATGTGGCAAAAATTGGATATGATAGTTTACCATACCCAAAAACCTTTAGAACCGCCTTAGGATTGTCCGGTGCCTTCATGTCTCGTATCGCTTCAACTTTCCCTGGATCTGGTCTCACACCATCTCTGGAAATCAAGTGTCCCATATACTTGACCTCTTGCTTTTTCCACTGGATCTTCTTCTTGTTGAGTTTCAGACCTACTTGCCGTATTCTCTCAAAGAGCGCTTTAACGTTCTTGTCATGATTTTCCGGCCTCTTCGTCTGTATTGCCATATCCCATTATGATGGTATCATCTGCGATGACCATCACTCCATCGAGTCCTTCGTACGCTTCCATTTGACGTCTTTGATATTCTTCGGGGGCGCTGGAAATTCCTTGCGGAACGCGAATATATCTGTATCTCCCTTTCGGGCCCCAGAATGTGGTGAGATCTTGAGACTCTGGAGTCAGCCTCATTTGGTAGAATCCATCTTTCGCGTCTACGATTGTGAAGAATCGAGCGTTCTTGAAATGCGGTAATTGATCTTGTAAAGTCGGCATGGGAAATTTCGGTCTTCTCAAAGCTCTGTTCAGGAATGTTGGATCCAGAGTCAGTCTCACGTCATCGTTCTTCGGTACTGCCACGAGATTGCTTATCCATGGTGTCGGGTGGGTAACCTTCTGTATGATTCCCGCCTTCACCAGCTGCTCAATTTTCCTGGTAACCTTTTCCAGGAGAGCAATTGCGATCCTTCTAGGAGGTTGCTGTCTGGGCTCATAGAGTGGATCAACTTGAAGCTTCACCGGGTCGCCGAATTCTCCAAGACCTTCGAATATGTCGGCATAAGTGTCCAGCAGAGCTTTTCCACCTCCCGACGACGTTGAGTCCTCTCCCCGGATCTGATAAACAGCTTCGACTGATTGATCGAACTGTATTAAGTCCTATTTTCTTGGCATGGTAGCCCGAAATGAGAATTTCGACTCCGTGATTCATCACCTGGAACGGTAGCGAAAAACTTCGCCCATTCACAGAGCATGGTAATCTGCACACTCCCAAGGACATTGTGACGTGATTGTCATACATTTTCAATGGTTTGCGTCTCTTTTTGTCTATATCGCTGACGACTCCCTTTTTCTTTAGATCTGAGTAATCTTTCCAACTCATTGCGTTGCAAGTCGCTCCCGTGTCGATTTGGCCTCTCAGATACGTCTTGTCTTCGAGCTGCAGCTTTGTGAAGAATTTTCGCTTGACACGATCTGTTGTCCCGGCCATGAACATGTCTTCACACCAATCGTCTCCTTCTTCCAAAGTCTCGACAACACGGGTTTGCTCGCCTGTTAGACAGCACGCATCGAAATGGTTGTTTTTTCCACATTTCCCGCAGCGGTATCCGTACGCAGGACACTTCCGCGGCTGGTGCCTACTGCCACAAAACGAGCAAGCATTCGTCCTGCCCGTATTGGTTCTCCTGAACGGTCTTTTCTAGAGTTTCGGAATGACACTGCGTTGATCTCTTGGCTTCCAGACATCACGCTTTCCCGATTGTCTTTGATGTCTGCCAAGGCTCCTTCGTTATCCTCATGTCTTCTCATCAAGTCTAGCGCGTTCTCAAGCGTCAGGTCGTTGTTTTCTTTGAAAATCGCCTCCCTGGCTTTCTGGATCCGTGTACCGATCACTAATCGATCTCTCACCATTTCTTCCCGTAGATCATTGTATCTACAGTTCCTGGCTAGTCCTCTGAGCCTATCCGCGAAGTCCGATATCTTCTCTGTATCCTTCTGCACGGCTTTGTGGAATAGGTACCGTTTATAGAGAAGGTTGTCCTTTTTCCCAAATCTTGTTTCCAGCGCGGCGACGAAATTCTTCACGGTTGTGCACGGCTCCTTGCCGTTGGGGTTTGCTCTGTCACCGCTCACCATGGCCTCGAGTCCGAGATGTCTCAGGAGGGCCCGATTGGCTTCACCGAAGCACTGACGGAAGTTCGATAGTTGCAATTCCGGTTCCATGGCATACACTCCCTCCCATCGTGCGTAGTCATTGTATGCTTCCCGGAAAGTCTGCCACCTTTCGTAGTTGTCTTCGCCACTCAGCACATTCATAGCAGTTGGCCGAACTCCTCGGCCTCTTGTTTGCATCTCCTGTTCAGACTGCGCCATGTTTTGGATGTTCTGACTGAAGGATGAATTACCAAACGGAACACACTCTGAGACCGTCTTAACGGAACTGCCTGTCATTTATTGATCTCCTCGAAACACAGAGACGAGAAGCGGCTCTGCGTGGGTTCTCCACGATGGCGGTATATTTAAAGATCTATGAACATCGCCACCTATTGATCGAGCTGTGATAAATGCACTCTCCCCGAAAGCCAATAATTGAACGAAAGTTTTCTCGGGGATTGTCCTCCAGAAATCGTCGGGGAGCTCAGCGACGTTCTTGACGACATCAAGGACGAGAGTTCCGTACAGAGAGTGATTAGATGGTCGATGATTATTATTAGTGGAATTAATCCGGGAAGTATTCAATGTACCGCTCCGGGGTAGCTCGATGGAAGCGCTCCGAGAGGAATCACTAGCGGTTGCGGCTCAGAATCTCGCAGCTCTCCGAAGAGGCATCGCCACCGTATCTTTTGCAAGTTTTCCGAATCCATCTTCCGTCGTCGGCTGAGCAAGGCGGTCGTTCCAATACATTGGGACTCGCGACTCGCATATGACAGCTCTGCAAGTTTCGCCAATCCCTTGGTCTCCTCGCTTCTGAAACCAAAACCCGTCCCTCACAGACAGGCGGTGCACTCCGGATTTGAATTCAACTCCGAGAGGGATGAGAAGTTCACATCAAGCCCCGCGGAGAAGAGAGGAGTCACTGAGATAGGAAGACTTGCGTTTCGAGAGTTAGCCCCACACACGAGAATGACCGGAACGTACTACCCACGTTTATCATTAGCAACGGAACGTGCATGCGCGAAACTCGAACGGAACAGTCCATCATCCTGCGGTAGAGAACTGGCGCTAGAGACGGAAGAAGACGGCCCGACGGGGAACACGTAAGCTCTGCAGTCGAGCAGCTAGCCGTCCGGCTAAGCAGACGAAGGAAAAGCTATTCCTCTCGCTTCTAATGGAAATCGCATGGGCGGTACGACATGAGCGATCGTACGCACTGTTGAATGCTAACACGCTGCGGGGCGACCCCGTTGCATAAACTCAACTGTTCTATTCGGGCAAGACAACGCGCTGCTCCGAGGCGTCGAGACGTCCCGAGCAACCATACCGTCAGCAACTCACAATTTTGGCGTCCGGGCGAGCAAAACGACCAATCACACGCTGCGGTGCGTGATAGTTCCGAGAACGCTCCCGTCTTTCACATATTCAGCGAGAAAAATGCGAAGGGCTCCGAGCGAGAGCGCCAATCTCCGTCCTGATATTTTCGAGCGGACAAGAATGCAGAGAATGTATTCTAGAGCTCGCGGACTGATCTTCAATACACTAATCGCTTCTGTACAAGATTAGAGCGATGAACTGTCGGCTATTATTTAATTCCATTGTTCCGTTCGTGGAGCGCCGGTCCCTTCAATCTTCGGACTTGATTGTTGCTCCCCTGCTCGTAGACTGAGCCGGTACGTCAACTTCTTTTGTTGCGAGCTTTTTGGCTCGCATCCAAATCGAGACCGAACCGCGCGCCGGGAAGAAGCCCCGCTGATTCCATGGAAGTGTTTGCTATTTAGATCCCAGATTACTTCGCTCGCCCTATTTCCCTTGGATGATCACGGCTGCTACAACATCCAATAATTCAGAGATAATAGCCGCTGCGGTCGGATCCTGCGACGCGAGCGTCCTTCCCAACGCACTCTTCCAGAGATTATCGGACGACTTGGATCGGAGGGTCTCCCCAACCCGCCTGATTTGGATGACGCAAAAACGTAGGTCTCAGCACCTTGAAGTCTTTATAGAGGGAGAATCTGGCTCCTCCTCCTCGGTTCGGTTAGGTTTGCCTAACCGAACTCGGAGTCGGCGCTCAGGTTTGCGGGCTCCGGACGTCAACACGGCTCCAGCCTCAGGATGATGCCACCGGGTAGTGAGCTTAGCTAGCTTAGCTAAGGAACTAGCTAAAGTACTTTGCTAGTATTTAATACCCTCTGCGCTGTTTCCGGGCGAGCGTCCGCTCCTTTTACGATGTCCGAGCGCTGGACGACGGACTGCTCGCCTCTAAGAGTTGCACTAGAGCTCGGCACCTAACCGAGATCTGATACGTTGAGAGTTAGGGGCTTCAGAGATCGCTGCAATTTATAAACCAGCGGATCCTCTACTTGATAAAAAAACGATGGCGGTGATTTATCTCGAGGCTTACGCCGGTATCTTCGGCCAACTGGAAAAGGAAAAGAAAAACATCGACGGATGACCAGACAATATCGCAGGAGATAGCCGCGGAGCTCGTCGAACTACGTGCTCCGGATGACGGCTGTCTTGCTGCATCGGGACCGCACGGTTTTCTGCGAGAAAGAAGCACTATGTGAAGATTTTCAGAGACAGAATCGCACTTCAGAGAGTAGGTTGATCGACGCTGTACAGCTTATTCCGACGCCGACCTTATTGGAAGCGAACCGCAGGAGTTATACAGGATCGAGGCGAGTCGGATTTACCGCAAAACTCTTCTCTCGTGGAGAGAAAAACTTCCACGAGTGGGGAAACTCATACGACGATCTTCATCGTAGCTCGGAGGGTGAGATGTGGATTTAGAAAGTTCAGAAGGACAGAGAAACTTTTCAGAGCTCAAATCAGCGGTCTTTCCTGATAGGGAGCTTTCGCATTCGCTCCGGAAATATTGTTGGGTCGGACACCAATATTCTCTCTTTAAGGGCACGCCTGCCTACTTTCCGACCATCAGAAGAACCTGGCCGTTTATTAAAGACTGCCCGATCATTTCTTAAGTCCAGCCAAGAGGGAATTCAGTACGGTCGCTCTCACTGACGAGCATACTGAATACTCATACGAACGCACCGCCAGAGCAGCTCCGCGTTTTTCGGGACTGCGCTTCCTGAACCCCCACCCTCAGAAATCCCCCTCCATTCGGACTCCAGAGACTCCGGAGAATGCCCATCTATGGAAGACCGCCCGTCTATTCCATCTATCCGCGAGGACCCGCCTGTCCATACATTGGAATATTCACGGTATATGCATGAGACTGCTTCACATAAGCTATGACACCCTTCGTAGGGAATCCATGATACTCCGATTGACCCATCAGCTCGATTCCATTAAAAAAAAAAACATCCCCACCGAACCTCCTCGCCTACGATACACAGAGAACTTGGAAGTAAATATACAATTAAGGCAACGGGAGATTAGGAAGAAAGGCACTGGGTAGGCGTCAGTGGATTGGACAAGTTTCACGTCTTCTGTGGCTGTGGTAAGCGCGAGTCTTCGGGGAGTATTCAAGCGACTGGCTCAATCTCTTCGTGGACATCGGTGAGTACTCCCAGAAGTATTCCACGACGACCGATTCTGAGCTAGTGCTGTGCTGACTCTCGAAAAACTCTGCCGGCTCTAGGCGAATTCCCACGGAGAAGATTCTCCTCGGAGCTCGGAGAGCCAAAGTGCCAGAGAAACCTGAGGTCAGATGCGCTACCAGCAGGGGAGCCTGACAAATGATGAAAAAGTTTCTTGAACTTTCTCCCGCAGATTATGCATGCTAAGTCGGTATGCGATGCGGTGACGCGAGTCCGGAGGTTCTCGCTCTCTGATCTCAAGGACGGTCAGTGGTTGGCACCAGTGAAGCGGGTGTAGCATTCCGGGATTGCGCATCGAAAAAATCAGAGTTTTCCCGAGAAAGATGTCGGCGAAGAACAGCCCTTTCGTCGACCAGGTTCGATAAACCGGGCACTTTCGACAGACCGCCCCGGGCGGTAGTGTTCCGCGCTAAGCCACAGGTTGGGACTCTATTTCGACGGTTCAGGTGTTTACAAATTTTTTCGGGGTCACCACTGCTCTCGAAACGCCCCTCACCGTATACGGAGCAACGGACAATCCATCCATCGTCTTATTTTGGAATCGTCGAGCGAGGAGTGTTGTTTCCGCAAGGGAGATTTCACTGAAGCGATAAGCCAAAAACGCAGTCTCTGAAGCGGAATACAGACAGTTCTTGACGTAAATAATTCGTCGACTCATACCTTCCCTGACAGCCAGCACGGGGGTATCCGAATGGGTTCCCCCCTTAAGTGAGGGAGATCGTATGGGGAACCGATCCACGATGCAACAAAAAAGACCGCCATAATGTCTACCGCGGATTTTTCCTCGGCGCGGCGCTTCACGAGCTCTGATTAGGCGGACGCTCTCCGAGCAGCTGCGAATCTTCTCGTCGTAAAGGTACTCGTCTTCGTGTAAGTCTGCGTGAAGAGAGTCCGTGGGCTCCTGTGAGTACCAATTATTATTGGCTCATTATTCGATAGTTTATGTTGCTAGGAAAGTTTCCGTACGTGCAGGACTCATATTTCGGCCTTTCCTTCAGGCTTAAATGTACTATGCACAACATGGAGCAGCAGCTGGGAGATGGACGTCTCGCGGCTGGAGCTTATCGAGGGGGGAATTAGGGGGTCAATCACTCTATCCGTACGATAATAATGAAGATAAACAAAGAATACTTGTGGTGCTAACTTTCGGGAGGGCGCATGATTAGATTGGCTTCGATAAAGATATTATGCTATCTGAACGGGGGTTTTCGTGTGACCCGGAACACTGTTCGTCGTGCTTTCGTGCGCTATCATCTAGGCGGATTTTCCCTATGGGACGCTTGCGCCAGGAGAGGGCTGCTCATGTCCGGGTTGGACCATATCCCTTCATTGGCAGGTTCACCCCATACGAGCCGTCCGTCACTTGGCTTGCACGTATCTCGCATTCGCGATTTATCATTTCTTCCGTTCTCCGACGATATTCCTCCCGAAATTGCAGCGAGTAACCTAGGATGCATGGTGGGATCTGTTTCATGCTCGTACGTATTTCCTCCAACATAAAGACTCTCGTGATCAGGCTCACTGAAATGACCGCCATCGTCGGATACTATCGAAGACAATGTCTTATTCTCTTGACATTTCTGATTTTGGAAATTCAGAGAGTTCTGAAAGTTCTTTTCCCCAGGGATTTCATTTGGTGGACTGAATCGATGAATG